TAAACAATAGAATACCAATTGAAATTTATTAAATATTTTTGGATGGTTTTTCTACTTTTTCAAATATATTGATTTCAATTGCAACACAGAATACAAAGTGTACACACACTTTATATTATTTATTACAAATATTTGCACTGTAAACATTATAAAAGAAATAGTATTTTTGAATTCACCTCATACAAGTACTGTAGTATAATCTCTTTATCGCGAAAGTGCAACTTACAAATGTAGGGTTTTTTGTTACATAACTGCACTCAAAAATAAAACAATGTAAAACTTTAGCGCCTATAAGTCCACTCAGTCCTACTTCTTGTTCAGCCGATCGCTAAGACAAACAAGTTTGTTTACATTTACGGGAGATAATGCTGCCCCCTTCTTATTTACAATGTCACCTGAAAGAGAGAACAGGTGTTCGCATGGCACTTTTGTAGCCAGCATTGCAAAGTATTTATGTGCCAGATATGCTAAACATTGGTATGTCCCTTCGTGCTTCGGCCACCATTCCAGAGGACATGCTTCCAGGTTGATGATATTCATTAACAAAATAACAGGTTTCAGAGTAGCAGCCGTGTTAGTCTGTATCCGCAAAAAGAACAGGAGTACTTGTGGCACCTTAGAGACTAACAAATTTAAATTTGTTAGTCTCTAAGGTGCCACAAGTACTCCTGTTCTATTAACAAAATAATGTGTTAATTAAATTTGTGACTGAACTCCTTGGGGGAGAATTGCGTGTCTTTGCTCTGTTTTACTCGCATTCTGCCATATATTTCATGTTATAGCAATCTCAGATGATGACCCAGCACATGTTGTTCGTTTCAAGAACACTTTCACTGCAGATCTGACAAAACTCTAAAAATCTCACTTTGGTACCTTCTTTAAGATAGTTACAGCATTCGACCCAAGGTTTAAGAATCTGAAGTGCCTTCCAAAATCTTAGAGGGATGAGGTGTGGAGCATGCTTTCAGAAGTCTTAAAAAAGCAATACACTAATGTGGAAACTTCAGAACTCAAACCACCAAAAAGGAAAATCAGCCTTCTGCTGATGGCATCTGACTCAGATGATGAAAATGAACATGCGTTGGTTTGTACTGATTTGGATTGTTATCGAGCAGAACCTGTCATTAGCATGGACACGTCCTCTGGAATGGTGGTTGAAGCATGAAGGGACATATGAATCTTTAGCGCATCTGGCAGGTAAATATCTTGTGACGCCAGCTACAACAATGCCATGCGAATGCCTGTTCTCATTTTCAGGTGACATTGTAAATAAGAAGCGGCCAATATTATCTCTCAAAAATGTAAACAAACTTGTTTGTCTGAGCAATTGGCTGAACAAGAAATAGGACTGAGTAGACTTGTAGGCTCTAAAGTTTTACATTGTTTTATTTTTGAATGCAGGTTTTTTGTACATAATTCTACATTTGTAAGTTCAACTTTCATGATAAAGAGATTGCACTACAGTACTTGTATTAGGTGAATTGAAAAATACTATTTCTTTTATCATTTTAAAGTGCATATATTTGTAATAAAAAATAAATACAAGGTGAGGAGTGTACACTTTGTATTCGGTGTTGTAATTGAAATCAATATATTTGAAAATGTAGAAAACATCCAAAAATATTTAAATAAATGGTATTCTATTATTGCTTAACAGTGCAATTAATCGCAACTAATTTTTTTAATTGCTTTACAGCCCTAGTTAAAAATGCTTTGATCTTTTCCAAAAACGAAAGGAACTTTTACTGTGATCTTCTGAGCCTCTAACCTCAGAAGTAGAAACCACATGAATTGCCACAGTAGATCTCACCAATGATCTGTCTAGTACAGAGGACCAGTGTATTTGGCTTCTTGTTTCTCTTTGAAAGTTTGAAGTTGGCAGTGATATAGGCCACCTGATCTAGCAAACTTGATTATGGTAACAACAATCACAAATGAGTGTTTCTTGTTCTATTTCTTTTACATATACTACATATATGTAGGTCCTGCTCTTGCAATTAGATCTATGTAGGCAAACCATTATGCCTATATGGACCGGGTTTGCCGAACTTGGGCCAGATAGCATGAGACTATGAGTAAAATTTCAAAAGTACCTAAGTGAAAATTGGATTTAGGTTCCAAAGTCACATAGGATAAAGTTTTCAAAAGCACCTGTGCCTCTCCAAATTGCTTGTAGTCGAATAGCCTAATCCTGTAAACACTGAAGTAACTTTATTTAGGTGAGTAGATTTGTTGAAATAGAGAAGACAAAGGGTGGGAAAGGGATGCAACAAACAAGCAGAGTGGTCGCAGTGATAGTTGTTAAACATTGTGTTAGTTCTGTGGTGTGTGTAGGTTGAGCTTTTGTGTTTGTTTTAAAAAAAAAATATTAAGGGGCTGAGGGGAGGATTAAGGGAAAGAGGAAGGACGAGGAATGCTGAGGAGGAAGGAAAGAGGGACACCCTGGAAAGCAATGACCGTGAGGGAGAGGGGTAGAGGGTGGAGGTCAGAGCAAATACCGATCAGTGGATAGGCCTCTAATTCTAGACATGACTTTCTAAGCTCTTTCCACACAGATTCAAACAGTGCTTCATTGGGTCACACTCAAGTTGTCTTCTGAACCATAAGTAGGGTTGCCAACTTCCAACTGCTGAATACGGAACATCCTCACCTTGCCCCCTCCCCTCTCCTAAGGCCCCCCCCCCACCCTCTGTTGCTCGCTCTCCACTCTCCTTGCTCACTCGCCTGCAGAGCCAGGCTGGGAGGAGTTGATGCGGAGCCTGCCCACCTGCCCAGTCAGGGCACAGCAGGGCAGAGAGTGGGTCGGACCCTGGAGCGAGGGGCTGTGGCAATTGGAGCATGGTGGGGGGTCGGTCCCTGTAGCGAGGGGTCAGGGCTGGGCCAATCGGGGCACAGCGGGGGTCTGTCCCCAGAGCAAGGGGCCAGGGAGGGGAGGGGTCATTCCCCGTAGCAAGGGGCCAGGGCAATTGGGGCACAGCAGGGGTTGGTCCCTGGAGCAAGGGGCCGGGGCATGGTGGGGCAGAAGGGGGAGGCAGACAAGAATGAGGAGGGGGGGAAGAGCAGCTAACTCTACAAAATATTTAGGATGTCAGTAATGATAACTTCTGAGACACACACCATTTGTTTTTTCAGGAGTGTACATCTTTAGGACGTTAGTGGAAGAATATTATTTTTCAGTTAATCTGATATTTTTCAGTAAACATGGCCAGTAACAAATAATGTTAAATCATGCTCAACATCTTCTAAATGTTGCACCACTTGGACATACAAGATGTTTCCAGAGTAGCTATGAATGGGGGTAGGGACTTGGGAGGGGAGGGGAGGGAAGGGGAAATTTTCTGAAATTAATTTGCATAATGCAGAGGGCACACCCCTCCCACTTCATAAGTTTTCTCTGTTATGCCTTTTGCCTAATTATACCCATATTTAAAACAGTTAGTTTAGCTACCTCATATCCGATTTTTGTCTATCAAGCTTCTTTTATTCTCAGAGATATCCGAGATAGTGTGGGTATTCCCACCTGGCTTTATTCATTGTTATGTACTGTTTTGGAGCTTTGTATGTACACATAGTTTATTAATTATTTTACAGTAATTTAGATACTAGAATCCTGATGCTGAATGAAACGTTAGGGCTAGATAACAACATTGATAAAACTAAACACTGTTGAAAGGTAGTGAATAATACCCTGGTTTCTTCTCAACCACCACCCACACTCCTTACCCACAAAAGCAAACTTTTGTCTAATATAACTGCGACAGGTTGGATCACAGAAGCCCCTTTGGGACTGCCACCTGATGTGCCTAGACTACCTCTGAGCCTGTTTTCCCTACCAGCTTGGGACTTCAGTGCCTTGCATTGTTTGAGCCAGACACACTTGCCTGCTGCAAACACAGATCCAAGTATGAACCACGTGCCTCACAAGCTGCAGGCTTAACTGAAAACAGCTTAAGAAGTGCTCCTGTCTTCAGCACTCAGATACCCAACTCCCAATGGGGTCCAAACCCCAAATAAATCCGTTTTACTCTGTATAAAGCTTATAAAGAACTCATAAATTGTTCGTCCTCTAGAACACTGATGGAGAGAGATGAACAGCTGTTTGTTCCCTCAGGTATTAATACATACTCTGGGTTAATTAATAAGTGATTTTATTAAATACAAAAAGTAGGATTTAAGTGGTTCCAAGTAATAACAGAACAAAGTAAATTACCAAACAAAATAAAATAAAATAAAACATGCAAGTCTACGCCTAATACAGTAGGAAACTAAATGTAGGTAAATCTCACCCTCAGAAATGTTCCAATAAGCTTCTGTGACAGACTAGCCGCCTCCTAGTCTGGGTCCAGCAATCACTCTCACCCCTGTAGTTACTGTCCTTTGTTCCAGTTTCTTTCAGGCATCTCTTTTGGGGGTGGAGAAGCTGAAGACAAAATGGAGGGATTTCCAGGGGCTTAAATAGATTTTCTCTTGTGGGTGGGAAGCCCTCTCTCCCCTTGTCTAGAATCCAGCTACAAAATGGAGTTTTGGAGTCACATGGGCAAGTCACATGTCCATGCATGACTCAGTTTTCTACAGGACATTCCCAGGAAAGCTCAGTTGTGGATTGGCGTCTATCGAGGTCCATTGTTAACCAAGTACTCCCAATTACTTGAATAACCCCTTCACACGAAAGCTTATGCTCTAATAAATTTGTTAGTCTCTAAGGTGCCACAAGTACTCCTGTTCCTTCACACTATGTTGACCAAATCTGCCTAAAGTGTTTGCTGTAGAAAGCACTTAAAATACAAGCATAGAGCCAACGCTCATAACTTCAGATATTCGTATGCATGTATCATTTTTATAAGATGAGTACATGCAGAAGAACATAATCTTTGCAAAGATATGTTTTATGGCATATCTAGCATAAAACATATTCCAGTTATGTCATATTTACACTCATAAGCATATTTCTATAAAGCACTATGGGGTGCAACGTCACAATAACATTGTAATTTTCCTAGGCTAATCTTGCCCAACTATTGAGTGATTCTCGGGATCGAAATAAGCATCTGGGAGAAGAAATTAAACAACTTCAACAAAGACTGGGAGAAGTACAAGGAGACAACAAGGTACTGCAAACTTATTGTCTTTAATAGGAAGACTACATGTAATGTGTAAACTGGACTAGAGACAAGCTCCTCAGAAAAATTGAATGAAGCAATATTTTGCTCTTTTTTTTATTCATAAGTTTCTAGAATATTGAGGTTACACAAATACTCAGAACAGTGGAGCAAAAACAGCCTACACAGGATACTAGTAACCTAGGTTCCTTGGATATATTTTTTGTGCGTGCTATATTCTGTTTTCTTTGAGTATTTATTGTGGATCCTACTTTGGGTTAATCACCACTAGCTTATGCTGTTTTATATGCTGTTCCCATTTGTAAATATATTTGGATAAGCATTTAATCTTTCCTTGGTTATGTGATATTTTTAAACATCTAATGCAATAATGTAGAATTTCAGTATATGATTAAACAAGAAAGCGTTATTTTTATATTTTTCTATCCAAAAAACTTAGACCCAAGTGGTCTTGAAATACATATTTTGTTTTGAATTTTAAGTAATCATCCTGCTAATTATCTTTACATAACCAATTTATTTTATTACCAAGTTTAGCAATGTATATGGAACATTGCTCAAAATCTGCTGTTCGGTATTACTCAAACTCCTGTTGTCTGTTAACTGAAATATATAAGCTCAAGCTAAATGTGTATACCACTCGCAGCTGGAGCTGTGTACAAAAGTATACACACAAATCAAACTAGTGAAAGGTTGGACTTGAAACAGGTGGCGGGGAGAGAAAGATAAGGACTAAAAACTAGTGAGGCTTATGGGAAGCAGAATAAAAATTACACAAAGGCCTCAATCCCATACTGGAGTATCTCTGTGCTCAGCGGAGCACCGCTCGAGTAGCTTGCAGGACTGGGGCCTAAGAGCTGGCTTAAACACAGTTTTTATACCATTATAACTGTATCTGTTCAGGAACTGATGAAGCGGTAAAACTTATTTGGATGCAGTTATATTGGTATAAAGGTGCTTATACCAGCTACTGTAGCTTATTCCGATAAACGTATGTAAATATTTTTGCTTCGTTTCCTTTCGCTCTTGTTCTCCATCCCTTGTCTCCATTTTCTTTGCTTCCTTTTGTGTTCTGTTTTCTTTCATGATCTCTCCCTGTATATCGTTGGAAACTAACTTTTATTTTTTCAGAGTATCCTGTCTCCAGTTCTCTCCTTTGCAGAGGAAGGATGGTCCAGTGGTTAGGGCACAAGCCTAGGACATGGGAAACCCAGGTTCAATTTCTTCCTCCAACATAGATTTCTTTGTGACTTCAGGCAAATCACTTAGCTGCTCTGTGCTTCAGTTCCTCTTCTGTAAAATGGGGATAATATTATTGCTGTACCTCACACTGGTTTTGGTTTATAGATAAAGCTGCTCTGATATTATGGTGACAGTGTATATAAGTACCTTAGATTGTCAGACTTCCCTTTTATCTGTGTTCTCCTCTCTCCCCCCCTCTTTTTTTAATGTTAACCTGCACCCCTTTCCCATTTTTGTCAAAGGCGCTGCTTGGAAAATGCCTACAGTGTGTACTAATGCAAATTCTGAGTCCTGTCAAGGAACAGTAAGATGTCAGCCAAAAATAAATATATTGGCTCAGATGGCTATTCAAAGACCGTGCCATGGGGAAAAAAAGATTAACAAATTCTCTCCACTTTATTCCACTCCTCCTGTTCATAACATGAAGACACAGAAAATCAAAAATCAGAGTTCTTGCCAGAAATGGCTCATGATCTAGCTGCCCCACTGAGGGCTACATTGTGGCATTCAAGGTGATCTGTAGAGGAGGAAAATAGGCATTATTCATAATTATTTCTTGTATAGTGCTCTTTATCAGTAGAACTCAAAGCTAGTCACAATCTTTGATATACTTATCCTCATAACACTCCAGGGTTGTAGAGAAAGCATCTCCATTTCACAGACTGGGATGTGTGGCACAGAGAGACCCAAGGTCACACAGGAAGTCCACAGCAGAGCAGGGAACTGAACCTGGGTCTTCTACATCCTAAACAAGTGCCCTCAACACTGGACCATCCTTCCTCAGAAAAATAAGTTGAGTAAACGCTTTGTTTTCTTCCTGAGGACTAGAGGATGCTGAAGTGCTTTTCTAAAATATATATTTTTAAAAATCTACTTTTTAGAAACCTTAATTGTTATAAATTTGAGGAACATGAAGTCTTGGCTTCCCTTTTTGCTGCAAGGTCTCCTTGGAGGACTAGCAAACTGGAATAGGAGCTTTCACAGTCTTTAGTGTGAAGTAATTGAGGCTCTGACTCGAACAAAGACAATTTTCTTCCCAGCAGTTTCTTTTTTTGTTTAAACTTATAACTCAAATGCCTAGCAATCTGACTATTTCCGCTCAATTGCTCTGATTTCCTTTTTTGGGTATTTATGATGTGATAATGCTGTTCATTCTCCATTTGTTTGTAGTCTCTTCGGGGGGGAGGGGGAAGTAGGCCAGAGCTGAATTTCTAACATAATATGTAGTAAAAACAACCCCCCTTCCCAATCTCCATGTTTTTTTCTGCTGCTCTCCTTTAAGCCCTATCCTGATGTTGGGGGCAATGCAGAATCTTACAATGCCAGGCCTTATGCCTCAGGCAGACAATGCCTCCTGTAGCCCTGGGGAGCTCAGCCATTTGCCCACAGTAGAGAGGTGAGGCATACCTTGCCCTCTGCTTGACCAGCGTTGCTGGGACTACTACTACACCCCCTCCCAGGTCCACTTTCCTAGACTACTAGTTCCTGTAATGGCACAGTCCCTGGAGAGTTCTACTGCTCAGAGCACAAGGTCATTGTGTCTGGCCTGTATGCAGAAAGCGCTTGTGTCCTTTCCCTTCCTCATGCACCCATGCATGGATGTGTTAAATATGGTCCTGTCTGTAGAAAAGAACAGTGTGTTTTAGTCTCTGAGAATGAATGTGTGTAATATGCTCTGCTGTTTAGCAATCTGAAACATAGCTCCAGTTGCCCCCATCCCCCACAGGCTTTATCATTGGGAGCCAAGCCCTGGACTATATATATGTTTTGTAGCAAACTAATTGTTTCGTAGTCCTTTTAACCACAGATATCAATGGAATTAATACCACAATTGTACCTATTCTGTCAAATTATTTTTCTTAATGCTATGGCTTTGGTAGTGGTAAATCCAGTTTCTGCAGTTTGAGCACTCTTTGCCCTGACTTCTCTCTGCAGGTCCATTTGCCATTGAATAGCCATCTTTGTGATACTTGTACTCTCACATGATGGGCTAGACTCATTTTGGTGACCCTCATGTCCTTCAGTAAACTGAACTATGCAGCAAGGGGTGCATCAAAAATGGTGTAGTAACCAACACATTAGCAAAAAAACAAGGGGAATTTCACCAGGCATTAACTTTATCCAAGATTTTCATCTTAGGAACACAGCTACTCTTCACTCGTCTAATAAGTGATACACAGAGTTTATTTTGGGGCCAGGTTGCAGTCTTTGAATTGTCTAACAGGAGTTGTGGTCTCCCCAAGAGACTGAAAGCTGGAAGTCTATGCCAGGGGTTCTGAACCTTTTTCTTTCTGAGGCCCCCTCAACACGCTATAAAAATACCATGGCCCAGCTGTGCCACAACTGTTTTTCTGCATATAAAAGCCAGGGCTGGCGTTAAGGGGCAGCAAGCAGGGCAATTGCCTGGGGGCCCTCGCGAAACTATACTGCTCAGGCTTCGGCTTCAGCCCTAGTTGGTGGGGCTCAGGGTGCAGGCTTCAACCCCATGTGGTGGGGTTTCGGCTTTCTACCCTGGGTCACAGTGAGTCTAATGCTGGCCCTGCTTGGTGGCCCCCCGGAAATGTGCTTGCAGCCCCCCAAGGGGCCTCGGACCCCTGGTTGAGAACCACTGCTGTATGCCATATTTTACTGTCTCCTAGCTTTGGTAGCAGAAATTCTGGGATTGTTCTCCTGAGCTGGCAGCAGAATTCTTACATTTTTATACTGCCATTTTTCTCTCCATTTTTTCCAAAGCGAAGGAGGGCAGCGGTCGACGTCAACTTTATTTCTGGCAAAGGATGAGCAAGCAGCTGCTTTTGCAGCCAGTGAATCTGCTTCTGGATGAACAATTCTGCCTGTGCTTGAACATGCATGACTCATAAAGCCTGTCCCTCAATGACAAGAGTTTTGTAGAATTAAAAAAAAAAAAACCTCTTTAAATATCACACAATGCCTCTGTTGAGGGAAGTGTGTTGATGGCCTGATTTTTTTTTTCTTTCTCAAATTGCATTAATGTTCACCAGTAGTAAGATACAACGGTTAATTGGGTTAGCAATGGGATTTTAACTGATGACCTTTGTACTTGTTATGGGAATTGTGGATTCTAGATGTTAAGTACATAATCAGTTAGACAAGAGCAAATTGCTTGTATTTTCCTTTTTTTTAACTGGACTAATTTTCCCATTTATTCAGCTAGAACTCGAATGGCACAGACAGTAAAACATTTCCAAAAAGTCTCCTGAAAGATGTGTTGCTGCAACTAAAGAAATGCAGCTACAGTTACACTGTAGCATTCAAGTAACTGAGTTCTAAGAATACTTACTCTTATGGTTGATCACAATCTCTTATCAACTCTGACACATGAAAACTACCCTAGGTTTACCGGGTACTTGATTTTGAAACCCCTTTTCTACCCAGTGTTGGGACAGTGATACTTGGAGAATAAACCCTTAAACTGAGAGGGCCTGAAGAGATCACACTCGTGCCTTAAATAGAAGTTGATTGGGGTGTGGGGGGGCGAGCTAGACGCTTCTAGAAAATGAGGTGACTGCCATCTCCACCCTAATTCCCACTCACGCAAGTCACTGGCAGAGAAATGATTTGCTGAGCTGCTAAAGGTATAGCTCAGTGATAGGACAATATGTTGTGTCCAAAATAATTGCTACAGCATTACTGACAATACATGAGACACAGTCATTGTCAAACTAAGTCTGTCATGTGAAAACCTACTGTCAGAGGTCCCATCCCTGGGCCAAGCAGCCTGCTGTGGCTTGGAAGTCCTATACATGAGCTTACCAATGACCAGAATTCCCTTACCCAAACTACTTGCCCAGTGTGAGACCTTTACCACAATTCAAGCTGCAGAATTGGTCCTCATTCCCAGCCTAGGTCACAGGCTATCTGGCAGTAGCAGTGTTATGAACTCTGGTGTTGAGTGCTGGCCGCTGCCTGCGTTGTTATCTAGAGTTGTTTTCATCAGGGTTAGGTGGTGGTGCTGGCGAAAAATGCCAGCAGCAGCTTATCTGCACCAGAGCTTTTCCTGGTGGAGCTGCCCTAGTGCTGGCAATGGTGCGACGTTTGAATAAAAAAAAGGCGAGACACATCCTGGACAATTAGGGGATTGAAGGGTCTGTTCATAAAGCAGCATAGATGTTGTTTTGATGCCCTTTTCAGGGATGACTCCTTCAACTTGCAATCAGTCACTGACTGTTTAGACTTGGTGGTGACTTGATATACCTCCAGCTGTGACTGGGAGCCACAAGCTATTCAGTTACTGCTGTGGAGTCTAGTGGTAAGCCAGTTGGTCTGGCAACCTTGCCTAACCAGCTGAACCAGAAGCATGACAGCTAAAGCCTGCTAGGTGGGGGTGGACGCCTGTAGCATGTATCAAACGCGTGAATCGAATTGCTGTAGAAACTAGCTATGTGACAGGTGTAATTATTACACTAAGAAATCTTGTAATTATTTGGCACTAACAGTGTATTTGGTACTCTATAAGAAACATAGGCACTCAGGGTCCCTGTCTCAAGTTGTTTTATGGTTATGCAAAGTGCACTGGGATACCCAGACGTGCCAATGTAACATTTCATTAACGTCATGGGCTGGAGACAGCATTTCACTGCTGTGGCCTAAGGTTGGTGCTCTTCATGGAGAAGGTGAGTTGAAAAGAATTACTGTACTTTCATAGTGTGTGTGTGTGTGTGTGTGTGTGTGTGTGTGGCCACGAGTAATCTAGTTATATATTTAACCTTCTGGTTAGTATTTTGAGATAAATTTTGTATGACCAGATAAAACTATAGTTCAGTACAGTATCCCTGTATACAGTTCACAAATTCAACCTATCTTTGGAACCTAAAAGAGAGTTTAAGTTAACAGAACCTAATGTGCCACTAGTGTCTCCCATCTCTAATGAACCAAAAGAGGATCCAAAATAATGCTCCCAAAATACATATGCACATGCTGTGAAAGCAGTGTCACTGTACTCTTTATTTTCCATGGAAATTGCTCCCTGTGCACATTGTGCTCCTTGCAGGAACTATGAATCTGGGAGGGCAAAGGTAGTAGTCTTAGCCATGGTGCGGTACATTTAGTAAATAAAATACGACAGACTTAACAGATTCAAAGTTGAAACTTGTTTAGGGGTGACAATGGCATTGCTGTGGCTCTGACCCTGCAAATATTTACATAATATGCTTAATATTACACTTTATTTGTCCCATTTGTGACTTATAATGAGTCTACTTCATGTGTTAGCCAGATTGATGGGATTACTCACAGCGCATAAAGTTAAGCACATGCATATGTCTTTTGCAGTAGGTCCAAATCCCCTCTAAAGACTCACTTGTGCCATGATTAAGGCTATGATTTAGTCATGGGTATTTTTAGTAAAAGTCACGGCCAGGTCAGAGGCAATAACCAAAAAGTCACGGCCAGTGACCTGTCCATGACTTTTACAAAATATACCCCTAACTAAATCTTAGGTGCTGTGGGGGTAGGGGGTGCTCCAGCGGCCGCTGCTGTTCCTGGGGGTAGGGACTAAGCCACTGCTGCTTCTGGGGGCAGGGGGGCCTGGACTGGGGCCCCGCTGCTCCTCCAGCTCAGGGGGAGGCCCCTGGCCCCCCTGCTGCTCCTGGGTCAGGGCAGGGGCCCAGCCTGGGGCCCCGCTGCTTCTCCGGCACTGGGGGTGGTCCTTGGCCCCGCTGCTGCTCCTTGACCGCTGCTTCTGGACCACTGCTCCTGGGCAGTGCCCAAGACCAGTTGCCTGTGGCCTCTGGAGCAGCAGCCGGTCCCAGGGCCATCCCAGCTGCTTGGGCGGCCCTGGGGTCAGCTGCTGCAGCTGAAAAAGTCAGAGGTCCTGGAAAGTCACGGAATCTGACCTCCGTGAAAGACTTGCAGCCTTAGCTATGATGCCTAGAAGGCTCTGCCAGATGAACATGCCTGTGTTAACTGTGACAACTGCCTGCTGTGCAGAACTCACTTTTCACTTCATTTCTGTTCAGCACCTATAACAGTGAGGTTTGATTGAGGCATCTATCTTTATTTATTTTAACCAAAATGTTGGGTTAAAATAAATAAAGGTCTATTTTATCATTTTTGCCTGATCCTAGCACAGTAGAGAGAGTGTTGATAAATAATGGTATGCTGCACTCTGCTTTGTTTGGTGAAAGCCTGTTTGTTTAGTGTATGCTGAGCCTGTCAGGAACCACCGCCTCTGTTTAAAGTGCACTTCACTTCAAAACCTTCTGTGCTGGAAATATTTTTGGAGTCCTGCGGGGTCCTCTATTTGTATTAACCTATTCTGAGGAATAGGGCAACAAAATGAAGCTGAGTGGTTCCATCCTGAATGAATTCTGAATGATAGTTCAATAAAAATACAGTGCCAGAGGGATGGAGTACAAACTTTATAATAAAAGGCTAAAATATAGAATAAACCCTTTTCTCCCTCCCCTTCCTTCGCTTTCCCCCCTAGCATAACATTAAAACGCTGACATTCCAAGAGTTGCAAAGGGAAAAATCTTTACAGCAGGTGGTGCCACATCAGCAGACACGCAGGGTGCAGAACTGGAGGGCTAGGCCTGCTTAGCCACACCTGCTGTCTGAGTTGCTGAATGTCTGAAGTGATCTGTCATTTAGGAATAAGATGTTGGATTTTAGGGGCACTTTGTGTTTAGGATTCCCCCTCCTTCCCCCCCTTCTCCCCACATTTCATCAGTAAATAAGAACTGTGATTTGACTGGAACAAACTTTGCAACCTCTATTCATGCAAGTAGTATTTACTCAAGGCTGTAATCCAGGGTGCTGGAACTAGGGATGTGACAACACCCTCTGGTTTCATATGGTTTCCATCCTATACAGGGTTTACAGTTTGCTTCAATGGCTCTCAGCACCCCCACTGTACAAGTTGTTGCAGCACCACAGGCTGTTATTACATATTACACCCCAGCCCCTTCTTGGGGTATGGGATGAGCATGGTTGAATGGCATTAACCAAGTTCTCCCTATCTAGTGCTGTGTGTGCTTTGGAGAGATCCTAAGCTGATTCTTGCATTGAGCGGGGAGAGGTTCCCTGCTCCCATTTTCTGAGCCTTCTGATCCTTATTTCATTTGTTACTTTTCTAACCAGTTGTAAAGTGAGATGCTATAATACAGTTTGGCTGTTAGCACTATGTGTTTCTCCCCTTTCATGTCTGTATGATCAGATGAAAGCTCTGACCCCATTCCTAAACCTGCTTGGTTTAAAAATATATATATATATTTTAAATTAGCCACTGGTATATTTTCCAGGAATAATTCAGTGTGTGCTCCTTACAGTATAATCCACACTCTTTTTTTTATGGGGAGGGGGAAATTCAGTTTGTCAAAAATAAAGCAGCCTGTGGACTATTATTTCACTGAGGAACTGTAAGTCACCCTTTGGAGCTTATCAGGAGAAGCTGTAGTAGCAGCACTTGTGTGGACTAAATAGGGGCTGCAGTGGAGAAGAGGAGCCTGTTTTTGATGGCCTACTGGCATCTCTAAATACCTAAAATAGATGGAATATACAGTCTTCTGTTTCAGAAGATTGATTTGCTAACTCTGAAATATAATGGTGCACATTAATTCCTTTGTGCAGCTGAAAAATGGGAGGGAAGTTATGGGAATTCTCACTGCAGATTTCTCAAGCCTCTGTGGAAATCCCACAAATTGGGCTACTGGGATATAGCACTTTTTCTGAACTGTGGAAAGTATAAACAATTCTAAATGATGCATGTTCTGCAGCCTGTACACTCTGTAGGCTGTTTATTTTACCCCCTTTTAATCCTTGAAACCTAATCCTCACAGTAGCCTCTGTTTAACAGTAGTATTGAAAATGGTTGGATGTTAATTCAGGTCAGGCTTTGTTTAAAAAATAATGTTCGCTAGCCTTGAAAGATGCTGAAGATCTTAAAGATTTTGTTTTGCATTTTAGCTAAAAATTTTAACGTCTTCCACTATTATTATATGTTAATAGATATTTCAAAAACATTTGTCTTCATGTTCATGTAAAAACAGCCCCATTCATTTAATCTTCATGCTAATTCTGCACAAAGGTTGCAACTGGATTTAGTTTAGGAGGTGCATGTGTGGTGCTGGGCTAGTCACTGTACTTCTCTGTGCCATGTTTTCTAATCTGTAAAATTAGAATAATGGTTATCGCCCTTTGCAAACAGCTTTCAGATATAGGGGTGAAAAGCCTGATATAAAAGCAAGATATTTCTGGTAGTAAATAATTTTTAAAATTCAAAACCTTGTCATTTCTGGAGAATGAGGATGGATCATATGTCCATGCTCACTTTAAACATATGCTCATATGTAAAATCCTTAATTTACTGCTAGAAGGCCTAATTTGGCTCTTTGAAGTCACTGGCCAAACACCCATCAATTTGAATGAGAATGGGATTGGGCTCATAGGCACAAAAGTGATCTCTTATTAAATATGCCTGGTTGAGATTTGTGAGAGCTGGAAAGTCTCTCTGATAACAGATTCCCTGTCTAGTGATACAATATACTCTGCTAATATTCTCTCAAGTGTTCAACCTGTGTTCTGTGGCTTATGAAGTCTTGGCATTTCTTGCAGCTCCTTAGAATGACAATAGCAAAACAAAGACTTGGAGATGAAGAAGTTGGGGCGCGCCACTTTGCAGCACACGAGCGTGAAGACCTTGTTCAGCAGTTGGAGAAAGCACGAGAACAAGTAATAACTAATGGGCGTTCAGTGAGAGATTGTTTTCACTGCTGGCAAAAGAACAAGTAAATTGCTATGCCTCTGCTGTGCTATAATTGCTGTTACCTGGTTTGCAATGCAGATAGTGGTGTTGGTGGCAAGGAAGTACATACTCTGGTAGTATTTATTGTATATATGTGTAAAGAGCATTCAGGGCACTTTATGCATTTACAAGGTATGCACCAGTAGAGATCGAGTTGCTTCACCTCAGAAATTCATCCACCTCTAGGGTGGAATGTGACAGCTGTTGAGTAGCACATAGCAACAGTTTAGGATTGTTAGTGAAGAATCCCATATTTAATCAAATGTTAGAGGCACATAAGTCAACATGATACGAGATGCCCAAACTGAAATTTAGGCAGGGGACAGATTAACGTGTAAAAGTCGGTTTTTTTTAATTTCCACAATTGAGTAAAACTTCTGATTGATGCCTTTTCCAAAATTCCTTGTGTCTTTCACCAGGAAAGTGCTCCTTAACACTGCACTTAGTACTCACTGTGTATTGAATCACCAAGACTTCATGGTGTCTTCACTGATAATTGGTATCTCTCATCCCAGTACTCATCTGGTTTACTCCTGCTTACTGTACTGAAGGCGGAACTTCACAGGCCTGCAAACACTTCAGTTGAAACAACTGAGTTTTAAGGACAGGTGTTAGAACAGTTTTTCTGCCCTATGTAGACAAGTTTTGTTCTTATAATTAGAAATGGGTCAAAACTTGAACCTTAAATATGAAACCCTTCGAATTGTGATGGCTGCTGGGTTTTAAATTCTAATCCCAGGAGCTAAACCTGTCATTACAATCTTGGATCTGTGTCCAATCCAAAACCACCAAGGGCCCCTCCACCTCCTCCCCCCCCTCCATTCAGATGAAACTGTAATTTCTTAAGAACAACTGATCTCACAAGAAAGCCTTATCTAGATTTTGCCTCACACCCTACGCTAGCCCAGACCTACTCTATACCCAAATGCTAGCTCTTTGGTCCCATGATACCAAGTTATAACCATGCTAGGAACCACGTGGCATACTTGTTGCTGACCTAGTTCCGACTATAGTGTGAATAAGGTCTTCCTTTGCTGTTGTTTTCCAAATGGTTTCTAAATATTTTGCAAGCTACTTCATTTTTAATTGCTGGACTTCGTTTTAACTTTAGTTTTAACGAAATAGAGAAAAATAGAGTAAACAATACTTTTAAAACAAAATTGTGTATGCATGGTCAAAAGAGGAGAACAACAAATACAATCTTTATTTTCCTTTTTTTGCTCTCATTTTAAAAGGGAGGAAATACAAGTGCAGAAAAAAGTGTAGCTCTATGAATTTGAGTCAGAAACTAAAGAAATTTTGTAGAAAGGCTATGCATGTCAACTTTTCTTACAATGGTGTCTTCAGTGATATTATTGACAACAATTATAGGGAGCATCATAAATTAAAATACTGCTTGGGTCAGGGTGAATTCTAATTTCTTCTTTCCCAATATATTCAGTTAGTTTGAGTAGAGATGTAGTGATCCACAAAGATTGGATCTAAACTTCTCCAAAGTGTTAAGGATGTTTGAATCTGGGGGGTTGGTTCAGTCTTCATATGCTGCCTTTTAGTATGCTTATGGCTACTTTTTGTTTTACTTTTATGGATTATCATAAATCTACTAACTGGCATTCTGAATCTGACCCTCTTCAGAAGCGAAGTACTTGCTACTCTTTTGTGTCTGGATATGATGTACTTTTCAGTAAATTCTGCAGAATAATGATAGCAGAGCTTTGCTTCTCAGATTGAGACTCTGGAACATGATCTTCAAGCCGCGCTGGATGAGCTGCAGGATGTAAAGGAAGAACGCTCTTCTTATCAAGATAAAACAGACCGACTCAACCAAGAGCTTAATCACATCCTGGGAGGACATGAAAATCGCATCATTGATGTAGATGCCCTGTGTATGGAAAACAGGTGAGTGTATAGGAAGTCTGCAGTGCTTCTCCTGCATGTACAGTGTGATGGTTCACATGGTACTAGGACTGAGTCACCCACTGCCTCTAGCGAGAGGGAGCCTTGTCTGAGGTAGCTATGTATTAGCTCCTTAACACCCCCAGCCTGTCAGCCACTCAAGCACTCTCCTTGAGTTGTGCCAGCCGTGTCTTTGCCTTGCAGGTTAACAAGAGGGGCACCCCAGACCCCTTGGAGCATTCCCCTGTGATATCCAGCCCCGACACTGGCTACTCACAGACATCCCAGATCATCCATTCCCCAACGAGTAGTGTACTCCATTTCAGTTTTATCTTAAATCGCTGCTCCTGTGTAATGCACAGCACTTGTGAGCACTTATAATAAAACAAGGTTTATTTAAGAAAGAATAGAGATTTCATTAGAAACGAGTGATGGAAGCAAATGGTCACAATACAAAACAAAATTGTAAAACTTGAGCTAGGGGGCCAATGCTTATTAATAGTTCCCTTTCTTATCTAATAAAGTGGGTTCTCCCCCCCCCCCCCCCCCCCCGGTACTGTTGCAAAGCTGGCTGGTTTCCTAGGAACCAGGATCCAATCTTTCATGAAATACCCACTCTGCTCAGTGAATGGTTGCAGAGTGTCTTTCTCCACCATGTGATATATGGAATTACTATATCACATGCTACACTTCATGAATAAACACCATGCAGAATGCATATGTCTGGCGTGGGTAGGGCTTTGCAGTGGGTATGCTCCACCCGTGCTAGGTGAATTCTCCAGTGAAGACGTAACTGTAGAAGCCCCCTCATGTGAAACATCCTGCCAGTGGCTCTGTTTGTGCCTTGTGCTGCGCAATGACTAACACATTGCCAGTGTTTAATAAATGAACAAACAAACAATATATAGGAGCCTAATGATATATATTATGTATTTTCCAGATACCTTCAAGAGAGATTAAAGCAACTTCAAGAGGAGGTCAACCTTCTTAAATCTAATATTTCTAAGTACAAGGTAGAGTTCTCGTTATGCTGCGCTCCTCTATTTATAGAGTTTAATTTTTTTCATTTGTTTATACACATTTTAAAAGTGTAAAATTGTTTGAGTCTGTAGCACCTTAGAAGCTAAAATTCCATGTGCAATTACCACTTCCTCTTAACTGTAGTTTAAGACAACTAGATAATTTTAGTACCTTTATGTATTTTGTTTACATCCCCAGTCTTCCCTATAGACTTCTCAGCTGTTATGTAGCATAAAGAAATAGCTGCTAGAAATATCTAGAAAGTGAAGGTGTTCTCTGAAGATCTAGGAAGAATTGCTCCTAGTTGAGGTTAGAATGTGACATTGTTCCAGATTGTTGCTAAATGGAGGATTGGTGGTGGTATAAAATTAATGCTCCTGTGTTTCTACAAAGTGTTAGGACATTTATTATCATGCAGCTGTTCTTTTATCTCCATATTTCCCAACACCAGTACTGTTGTTTGGCAAATTTTAATGATTGATATATCTTCCTTATACCTCCACTTTGGGGATAAGCTGTAGGCACTCTATTGCACAATAAATTTAGATGCCTGAGTATTCTTCCTCTAACCCTCTGCTCCAACTTCAATCAAAAAACACGTCCTCCATCCTTCTGCATGAGACTTTAAGCCTATTGGTGATGCTTCTTAATTCGTTAATCACTGTTAAGCAGTCACAGCATTCCCTGCCATTCTAGTGAAGTGCAAAATTCCTCCAAAGCACTGCCACCCCCATTCCAGGCACAGACCTGAGAAACTGAGGCCACAAAGCAGGTGCTGTGGGTGTATCTGATTTCTGAAGGACAGTTCTCTGGGAATATCTAGGGCTCAGCTTTAGTAAGAATCATGATTTTGCTTTGAACTCTTCCTAAAAGCCAGCATGTTCTGCTGAAAGGACCTTAAAGAGAGTTTTAGTGCTCTTTTCTTTTCCCTCTTTAAGCATGTCCAAGAGAAATTTTCTGGAAAGTCAGAATTTTATCCCAGACTGCTATTCCCCATGGACTGTTACTGATTTTACAAATGTATTCAACTGTTTCCAGAAATAGGAAAGTTTTAAAAACCCAAGTGGGGGCGGGGGGTGGTGGTGGAGGGGGAAATAGAAAGAACAGTAAAGGGGGATGGTGATGAGGTGCATAGATTCGTTAGGGTCCCAAAGGCTCTCTTGGCTAGTATATCCAATACTCCAGAAGGAGCCCCCCTCATCCAACCAGCAGTGTAGGGATAGACTAATGCCCTAGAAGAGAAACTCCAGGATTAATATCCCCTCCCTCAGATCCCTTACTCTAATGAAAATGCTTAGGCTAATGTCTGGAAAAAAAATGTTTTTGTTTTCTTAGAATGCTCTAGAGAGACGGAAAAATTCAAAGATTCACAGTAGATCCAGCAGCAGTGCACTGACTGGAGTCCTTTCTGCAAAGCAAGGTACTGCATAGATGGAACGTGGTGGTACGGTACCTCATTCTTTCTTCAGTGTGAACTATGAAGTTTTTCTCACATCACTTTCTTCCTAATCATCTTTTAAACTGCCAGCCAATCTCCTTTTCCTGTCAGTCTGACCCCATAAATTCCCTTCCTTTGCTTCCACCTTTTCACCTTTACATCAAGCTTAAAGTTCTTCTCCTTTCCTTCAAGGCCCAGTATAACTCTGACCCAGATCAGTCTCTTCTTGTGTCATCTCTTTTTCTCTGCTAACAATGCCAACCTTGATGCTCTATTTCAGCAGTAATACAGAGAAGGCAGGTTAAGGAAGGTGGGGGCCTGTTAAGTCCAAGTTCCACTCCTGCACTTGGGAGCTACTGTGGCTTGCTTCTCCCTTGCAGGAGGAGTTCTATGGTTTCCTTCAGGAAGAGACCAACAGAGCAATCACCTCATCCCATATGTTTTCCCCCACACACACCCTGAAAAGAGGCAAAGGATCAGAAAAGATGAGGATAGGATAAGATTTTCCCCCTGGAAATCTTGTTTCCTGCACCGTGATCCTCACCCTCTCTCCATGCACACAGGCACATACCAAACCAGCAGTACTTGTCATGACAGGTTGAAACTCAAGAAGTTCGTCAGCACTGACTGCTCCATTTATGTCAGTGGTGGCCAACCTGAGCCTGAGGAGGAGCCAGAATTTACCAATGTGCATTGCCAAAGAGCCACAGGAACACATCAGCTCCCGCCCCAAGTGTCTCCCACCCACCAGCAGCACCGCTGATCAGCACCTAACCCTCCATCCCTGCGCCTCCCACCCGCCGCGATTAGCTGTTTTGTGGTGTGCAGGAGGCTCGGGAGGGAGAGGAGGAGGCGCAAGGGCGCGGCAGACTCGGGAAGGGGTGGGGGCAGTGGCGTAGCCAGGTGGAGGGATCATGGGGAGCGATAAAATAAAAATAAAGGCGCCACCCGCTGTGGCGCTTTTACTGACGGGGCGGTGCTTTTACTCACCCAGTGGCGCTCCGGGTCTTCGGCGGCACCTCGGCGGTGGGACCTTCATTCGCTCCACGGGTCTTCGGCGGCGGGTCCTTCGGTGCCGTCAAAGACACCAGGAGCGAGTGAGGGCCTGCTGCCAAAGTGCCACCGAAGACCCGGAGCACCGTCGGGTGAGTAAAAATTAAAAAGGCGCCAAGAAATTGACAAGGCGCCACTTGTGCTCAGTGGGGGAGCAGCCGCTCCCCCCCTAGCTACACTACTGGGCTGGGGCCTTGGGGGAAGGAGTGGAGTGGGGCCAGGACCTGGGGCACAGCCAGGGGTTGAGCAGTGAGCACCCTGTAGCACACTGGAAAGTTGGCGCCTGTAGCTCCAGCCCCAGAGTTGGTGCCTATGCAAGGAGCCGCATATTAACTTCTGAAGAGCCGCATGTGGCTCCGGAGCCACAGGTTGGCCACCCTTGGTTAATGTCCTCTTCGCCATACATTTGTATGGTTTCTAGCCACAGCAGATGACCAAATGTGATCATGCTAGTGGACTTGCTGAGCAAGGTTAATGAGTCCACAGGCTTTCTTATTGCAGAGAAAGTTTCTTATAGGCTGATGTGTGACACACATTGATTGTGTCACATCAATCTCAAACAACCTTAGGAAATCAATAGTTCTAAACATGAAACCTTCTTTGTGGGCATGGTTTTTTCAGGTGGACTGAAGAAAAATATTCCTGTTCTGCCAGTGGCAGGAGATCATAGGATAGAAAAATGAGGCTCTTTCCAACTGAATAGAAATCTGTTCTTTCCAAAAGAAATATTAGCTAAGCAGAAAATGGGTCTACCTATGTTTGTGCTGGCAATTGCTGCGGGACAATGATCAGCTCAAACAGCCACCATTTTTTATGACTGAGTATTATATGTCTGGGTTTGTTTTGCTGGTTGGTTGGAATAAATCTACATTCAGCTAAGTAATGAAACAAAGATGGATTTGCTTTGTAAGTCTGACTAACTACTTGTGTCACATTTCTGTCCGCATAAAAGTAAGACTCATTTTTGTTTTAACATTTTAGTCCAAGAGTTGTTATCGGAGGACCATGGTTGTAGCCTACCTGCCACGCCGCAGTCCATTTCAGATCTCAAATCTTTGGCTACTGCCTTGCTGGAGACTATCCATGAGAAAAACATGGTCATACAACACCAAAGGCAAACCAACAAGTAAGTAGTATGACTTGGAATTTGGGGGAAACCAGCACAGGTGTTCACAACACTTTTTAAACTAGCATTTGATGTTTGAGCTCTTGTCTAGAAAATGGGAACTTAAAAACAGGAAAGGGAAGGATGGTCAGGTATCTTGTACTCCTCTTACGTGAAACGTCATTGTCATAGGTTTGGAATAGAGTTGCTTAGCCACAGCCATGACCATTCATAATATAGCAACTTGCAGATTGGTTTTATGAGGCATAAATTGTTGGATTGTAACACTACTGTATGATTCCTATTCTGTTTTGTGATTTAATAAATTATTTATGTTGGACAGTAATCTTAACTATCCTACCTAGTCTAATCTAATCTTGCTATCTCACATACTTGGGATTTTCTATAGTAGCCAGCATGAGAATATAGAACTGTCTTTTGACACAGTTTAAGATATTGGACTGTGTCCTTATGCAACACGAGAAAGTGGGAACTAGAAAGGAAGCATTTCTTGATTGTGTTTAGCCTTTTAGCAGCACTGACTCACTAGTGGTAATCAGAGGTAATTCAGGCTTCTCAAAGGCACATCAGGACCAGATGCCACAAACAGGCAGATATCTTTCATGAAAGGAAGACGAAATACTAAAGGAAACTGGATTGCACTAGAATAGATGACTCATTTTGAAAATTGATAACTCTAATACTTAGGCAGAATCCATAGCATAATTATTAGAAGTGGCAACAAAACGGAGGAACAGTCTGTAGGCGTACTTAAATGCTTTGGATGAAGCAAGGGTCTGTTGCGCTGAAGGGAGGCTAACGTCACATCAGTACCAGGGAATCTGAGGAGAAATCCAGGCACCTTCCAACTTAGCTGTCTCACTGACTTCCATCTTTCCACCATGTTTCAGTCTAGACCTGTTATGTCATGGTTCTTTGTCATTGCCCTGCATTATAGTTGACCTGTTCTTGTCTGTAAACTTTGCAAATTGCTATCTAGGCATTAAGAGTGTGTCTTACTAGAGCTCAGAGCATGCCTCCCAGTCTGGGTAGACAGACTCGTGCTAGGTCTGCTCAAACTTAATGCACTAAAAATAGCAGCATGGACATTGCAGCACCAGGTATAGTTTTTCACTACCAGATAGTTGCCTTTGTTCAACTCTTAGTTAGACCTGATTGTTCCTCACTACTCGTCTGTTTTCCCCAGATCCTAATTTAAATAACCCTTCCAAACTTTGGTAAGTGGAAAGAGTTGCAGATATTAATGGGGGGCCAGAGAAGGGATGAATAGAAATTAGAAGCGTAGCCTGAAAAGTAACATGTGGAAACATAAGAATACTTTTTGGTGAAAAATAATCTGGATGAACAGATACTGAATGAGGCACAAACCTGAAAAGCAGTAAAGTTGCAAGATATTTAGTGATGGTATTGGATGGTAGATTGCATGTGATTTTTTTGCACAGCAGTGTGACACAAAAAAGGCCATTGCAACTTTGGGCTACATATATGCTGTCAAGGCTGGATCCCCACTTTGAACTTTAGGGTTCAAATGTAGGGGCCTGCATGAAAACTTCTAAGCTTATCTACCAGCTTAGCTTTGGTCCGCTGCCACCATCACAAGAATTCCCTCCCTGGGAAGCCTTGAGAAACCTTTCACCAATTCCCTGGTGAACACAGATCCAAACCCCCTTGGATCTTAAAACAAGGAGAA